CAGCCGGGGGAGCCTCAGCATGAGGCCGATCGAGGCCTGCGGCCCAGCTGGTGTGGGCAGTGAGGGAGCAGCCAGACACCAGGAGGTCTCTGGGTAGGAACCCGGGGCAAGGGTGCTGCTTCCCCCATGCTCTTGAGACTAGACCACCCAACACGGAGCCCGCTAGGTAAAGCAGGTGCTCACTTGGAATTAGTTGAGAATCTCAAGATGGTGAAAAGCGTGGCACTCTCCAGAGCCCGAAACATCCAAACCTCCCACTGCTGACAGGAAGACCTGGCCCAAAAGCTATAAACGGAGAACTTGCAGGAGCCCAGATAGACAATAAATGCTCCCTCCCGCCACCCCCAAGAAGACCAAACCACATCATCAGGAATAAGCTGTTAGAAAATATAGCAGGAGAAAAACTATTCAAAATTAAAACACAAAATGCAAAAATACCCAGGGATAAAAGTGCATCCAGAAACCGCTCACAGAGGGATGTGAGGTGTGTGTGCCTAAGGAGGCCCATCCCAGATTTCTGATCTTGGGGACAGATGATGCCATCTCTGTTAAAGCTTAAAGAGATGCTTGATTTTTTTATGTTTTGGGGTGAAGTATGTAACAACTGTTCTAAATTTCACCTGAAAAGAAATGGAAAGCAGGGCCAAATGATTTTTCAAAAGAAAACTACTGAAGGGAGTTTTGCCCAGCCAGATGTGAAAATGTAATGCTGAGATTTACTGCCTGGGGTCCTTAAGGCAAAAGTCCTTTTACAAGGTTAAGTTGAAAACAACCTCAAAAAACATTGCGTGTATCTGTGCAGGGGAAGGACATAAAAGCTTCCCGTTTCCTCTTTCTGATTGCAGCGGGCACAAACTGTGTGTTTTAACTGAGGAAAGTACCCAGTCTCTGGCTTTCAACTGCTAATGGAGCAGTACTGATAACTCCTGTTTGTTATTTCATTGTGTTAGTATTTTTCTGGTTGCTCTGTTATTTTTAGACCGCCTGTACCTTTCCATGTGTCTGTTCAAAGGAAAACATTTTTTGAGTGATTTTTCAAGGTCTTGGAGAAATACATTTTGTTTCTTTAAAAATTCAATCCTACTCTTTTGAAAAACTTATAAAAATGTGTTAATGCCAAGACTTTTGGTTATTCAGTGAACTATTTGGAATCAATAAATAAGTCTTAGGATAGAATTGAGGGGGTCAACAGATACATTTGGTTGCTAGCCCTTCCCCACAGCATTCCATAACTGAACAGACCCTTAGTGAACCATGATTTTAGGTTATGCAGAATGTCATCCCCTCTTGTGCTACTTAAGCGACCCGAAAATCCAGCTTCGCTCAGAGCTCAGTAGAAGATAAGAGACTAACATTTATTGGGAGCTTATTCTGTGACAGCCATTGTTGCGAGAATGCTGCAACTAATGAATGACCACCTGTGAGTGCTCCCTATTTCAGATATGGGGAAACTGAGTCACAGACGGCTTGAGTGGCTTGCCCACGGTCATAGAACTAGGAAGTGGGCCCTAGGATTTGAATCTGGGCAGCCTGACTCCAGAGGTTTCTCCATCAGCCACTTCCTGTGCTTTCATTTTTTTAGTATCCTAGTCTCTCTGTCGATCATTTTGATTTCTTATTTTGGTCTCTAAAATTGACAAAAAGGCTTTCAATATGTGATTTAATACTGAGCAGAGGGGACCAGAAAAGGCATGGCTTCAGGCAAGCCTCAGTATTATCTTCCACATGTTTCCCGTGGTTTGGGACAGACCTTTCCGGATTTGGGTGGTGATGCTCAGCCTGTGCGTGGAATTCTGCCGCCTCTCCTCTGTTCCCTTCCCCAGTGCCCCGGGCCGAGTCTGGAGTGACAGGCGGTTCCCAGCCCCAGAGGGTGGAGGTCACGGAGGCCTTTCTCCTTCTCCCAGATATCTCCCCTTTCTCCTCCCATAGTGCTTCCCTTCTGCCTTTAGCCAGGAAGCACCATGGAACCCAGGACCACAGCAGGCTCCCCCATGGGCATTGATTCTGGGGACACCCTCCTGCTGACCCTCTTTCCTCACCGTTGTTCGTGTTTATCGTGGGTGCACAGTGTGGCGACATTGTGCCTACAGTGTAGAATAACAGTGCTCATGCCCTGACATCCCATTAGGATAATCCCTCCCAGACAGAGCCGGGTTCAGATGATGGGAGGTCTCTGAGGGCCTGGAACCTGGCCAGAGCCCACATTATAGCCCACTTCCTTACTGTGGATTCGTCTCGGACTCCTTAATGAGGCCAGAGACTTGGTTTTCCCGCACATGTTTGCTTATTTTCCTGCTTAAAAGGCTGCCAACCTGTGGATCCCTATGAAATGTTCACTAATAGCCTGTGATTCAGCGGGTTGGCATTTCTCACAGTCACCGTGGCTTGGAGGCAGTTCTGCTCCAACGCTCTCAAAATAACCCAAGAACACTACCCCTTTCTTAAAGCTGTATGAGTCTATTGCTTAAAAATGTTCCTTTAAGAGCTTTTGAGGAAATTGTACATTTCTGGCCTCTCATCAGTGGTTTTGTTTTCACCCTGGCCTTGTTAGTCTTGTGGGCTGTGCTGGTGCCAGGCAGGAGGTGTATGACACGAAGGGCGTGTGTTAGTTAAGGCGTGACTTAAATGCCCAGCACCTTGACTGTGCCTTGCAGGGCCACGCGCTCAGGTGGAGGAGGGGGCGTGCGGCCCACCTCCTTGGAGCCTGCCACCGGAAGGGGGCACACACGTGGGTCTGCCTCCTTCCCAGCAGGAGCTTCATCCTCTATGGGAGAGCCCTGTAAGGGTGCTAGGATCGAAATCACCCAGAGATGTTTATGCGTTCATTAATACGGTCTGGAGGGTCTGTCCGCAGGATTTGTTTTCTTACATTTGTGTGAAACACTGGTGTCTGTGGCCTCGCAGGGAGGTCTGCAAAGCCTGCAGGGGAAGGTGGAGTGCTTGGGCCCGGACACTCCCCGTGCTCCGGCCTTCTTGGCTCTGGAGCCGGGATGCTCCCCTTCAGCCCTGCACCTGAGGTGCATGGGGGACTTGGTGAAGTAGCAGACAAGGGGTTAGAGGCATGCTTGGTGCCCAGGCTTGGCCAGGGCTGGTAAAGGCCCTGGTACGGGAGGGCTCTGTGCCAGTCTAGTGACCTGGACTGACCACACAAGCCCCCAGGGAGAGGCTCCCGCTGCCTGCTGTGGGTACCACGCACCCTTCTCAGGGTCCTGATCTTAGTGATTTGCTGATGGTTTAGATTTTCCCTGAAAGGAACTAAACCATTCCCCTTTGAGGGGCGAGGGAAGGTATTTTCCCCCCAATGAACACCTGTGTGCCCCATCCCCAACACCTGACCTGTCACTGACTTCTCCGCTGACCTGGACTCCTCACCAGCACTTTCTGTCCTGACCTGGGCAACTTGAGCGAGAACCCTGTGGTCCCCAAGACTTCTCGCTGAGCAGGCAGAGGTAGGACCTGAAATAGAATTTGGACTTGTCACCAAGCCCCACCCTGGCCCCCTTGGCTGTAGGATGCCACTTCTTCTGTGGCTGTAAGCGTGGGGCGCAGACCCTCAGAGTCTGACTTTTACCCTGAGTGTTCCTTTTATTATACACAGACCCTGGGATTTTCTTAGCAAGGGAAGCTGTTTGTGTTCCTGGAACATAAAATGCTTGGTCATGAGGATGTGGGATTAACTGGTTGGTGTCCTGTTTCCTGGCATCCACCCTGAGAGGCAGGCCCTCGTCTCCCCGCGTGTACACACACGCACTTCAGTCACTGGATCAATGGCAAACCTGCCCGCACGCATCTTGGGTAGAGTCCCTGTCGCCGTTGTTTTTTGCTTTTCTACTCAGAAGGGGGCCTCTTTTGCCTTCTTCACCTGCTGGTGGTGTTCTCAGACCGCGGAAATCACCATGTTTGAATCAGTGGAAACACAGCTTGACACCGGTTTGCCTGGACTGCTGAGTGCTTGCTTGGGCCTGGCGTCCCTCGGCCGTCTCTGTGCCAGCGCCCAGTCGTTGTATCAGCATTTCCGGGCGGGCCCTGCTTCTGGTTGCCCTTTGCCATATACAGTGTACTTCTTGGAACTGCAGTTAGTGACAGCACGCGTTACTCTAGCAACCAAACAACTTTTGTGTCTGCACAGCCAGTGTCCTTAGGGGTCTCTGATCTCTGAGCTTGCCGGGCCTGTTGGGCCCAAAGCCTGCTGTGTCCACTCCTTCCTGGGGTCTGAGTTGTAGACACGAATAACGGCTTAATGAAGACCCTGCAATTTTAGACTTTTGGATTGAGACATGGCCAAAGATATCATGTGGTCAGGTGCGTTTGCTGTTTTATTGAAGAAGAAGTCTGTCTGCCACTTTACTTGTGGCAGGAGGTTTCTCTGGATGAAATGAGGCCCCTGGGGATGGGAGTGGTAGAGGGTGGTCTCATCTCCTTTCCTCTTCTACCCGCCCACCTTCTGCTTCTCCTCTTTTTCTTTAATCTCCAAGATGTCCCCATGGAACCCAGTTTGAAAACCACACTCTGGCTGCATTTTTTATAACCACACATCTGTCCTTGCTCTGTTCCTAGCCAATCTCTAATCTGTGACTCTAGAAAGACCCCAGTGGGGTTGTAATTGTTCTGAGGCCCTCTGGCTCAGGGTGATGAGCCATGCGCGGGCCCCTCTCTGCTTCCCAGGGCAGCCGGACTCCTCGCCTCCCCTCCTAGGCCCCCATCCCCCTGTCTCCTCCTCCTTGCCCTGGGTTTGAAGGGCCTTCTAGAAGGGCTTGGCTGTCCAGTATTTCTGAAGCCCCAACTCCCTCGTTTTATTCATTCAGCTGGATGGTTGCTCTCCAGCTATGTCGGCTGAGGTGGGCTTGAATCCCCGTGGGGCAACATCTTCAGACACCAGTAACAAAGCACATGACCCTGCGACAGTGTAGTCACTGACCAAATACTACACGCTACGGCTTACAGAGGCACCTCTTGCTCTTTTATTTCCTAATAAGTTGTTTTTGTAATTATTTTGACAGAGCCTTGCTGGAAGGAGAAAGTAATCCAGAAATATTCTTGACCGAGCGCATTGAAACTATGCCACAAGGTAAGTATTTAAGAAAAGCTAGTTATTTAACTTAAAGATGCTCTCCTGAACAGGTTCATTCCATGGGTACATAGTATCATTTGTCTGGAAGAATTGATGTTAGATACAATTTTTCAGGATAACTATTATTCATCCCTCTCCTAAGTACCAAATAGATTTTATTTGATGGCCTATTGTTTAATTAATGTGAATGAGAAGGCATGGAAAAGTGCCTTAATAACTCATTTGTTCACCTAGCCAGTATTTTGGGGATGCTTCCTACCCAGTGTGGTGAGGGGGGAGAAGGGGCTGTGGGCGACCTGGGAAGCATGAAGGATGACGAGATGATTGCAGTATGTTCAATATAGACCTTCTGCAGCATAGTCTGGGCCTCTGTATCACCATAGTCACAATCATGACAAATTGGGGATACATGCATTTGGTACGTCTGTTAGGAGAACACTTGACTAACAGCTCATCTGGATAGATGGTAGATTTTTTTAAAACAGTAACATTTATCCATCTCATTTTTCGAAACAACATCCCTATTAGGCCCTTTACAGGTCTGACAGGTCACTAGATTCAGAATGATGATTTTGGTTCTGGTCATCCGTGACTGGAAGGGGCCAGTCTTAGGTGATGTCCAGTAAGCTTGCTTTCTGATTTTGACACTAAGGTTGAAAAAGCAAAGATGTCCATGGAAGTGGCCGTTCGTCAGTCTGCCTGGCGTTAGTTAACATATGACATCTATAAAATAAGAATTATTCATTCACTACATTTCGAGGCTTAATTAGCCACCTAAACATTTTGCACTTGGATAGATAAATCTGGAAGTCTGTCATATAACTTAGAAAGTGGGAGAGGGCAAAAAGGGCCAGGATCAGATCTCCAGGAAAACCAACAGTCTTAAGTCTGGTTCTTGCTAATCTTTTATTAGCTGTGATTTTAAAGTCTAGGAAGAGCTCAGAAAGAGGGCTACTGGGTATCTCTGTTACTTAGAGTAATGATGACTATCATTCTAATAAATGGTTGAATTTCTACAGAATTCAGAAACACGTCCTATCAGTATACCAACTCAGTATTACAGAGGGAAAAGGAAAGAAATCTGTTTCCAAGGCAGAAAACACCTTCAGCAAACTTCAATCAGAACTCGATGCTGCTTTTAAACCTATCGGCTCACCCCAGGTACCCCCCAGCCACTGGAAACGCTGCCAGAAGAGGCTTTGTGGGCTCTGGATATTCACCCTCTACTACTACCTGGCAGGAAAACACTTATGAAAAAGCTGTCAACTCTTACGAGAAAACTGCCAACAGTCAAACCAACTTCAGAACTTTCTCTCCAACCCATGGTCTTTTAAGAAATACTGAAGCCCAAGTGAAAACATTCCCTGCCAGACCAAGAACTGAAGGTACAAAGGATGCCCCCGCTAATTTAGCCAAGCAGTCTACTGTTGCCCAGCAGTCATCCAGGGAGCACCAGGACAGTGTGGCAGCAGGTGCTTCCCGAAGCACCTGGTCAAATGAGAGGACCATCGTTTTGGGAAAGAAAACAGAAGCTAAAGCCACCAGGGAGCAAGAGAGAAACAGGCCAGGAACCGTTCAGACGAAGCGAGAAGAGAAAATGTTTGATTCTAAGGAGAAGGCATCAGAGGAGAGAAACTTAAGGTGGGAAGAACTGACCAAGTTGGATAAAGAAGCAAGAAAGAGAGAAAGCCAGCAGATGCAGCAAAAGGCGAAGGAGAAGGAGTCACCGCAGGAGAAAAGTGTGAGAGACAGAGAAATACCGATCAGTCTAGAGGTATCGCAGGACAGCAGGCCAGATGTGGCCCCGAAAGGTGTCCAAATGCCCCTGAAGAAGGAGGCTGGTGACGTTGCAGGTAGGGGGGTGGAAACGAGAGAGACAAGGATTCAGCTGGACACCAGCGACGCCCCCGGCTCTCTGACAGGCGACTCCATGACCCAAACCATTGCAGAAAACATCGTCTCCAGTATCCTGAAGCAGTTTGCCCAATCTCCTGACACTGAAGCATCTGCAGATTCTTTTCCAGACACAAAAGTCACTTATGCGAACAGGAAAGAGCTTCCTGGGGACAGGAAAACCAAGACTGAGATAGTTGTGGAGTCGAAACTGACCGAAGAGATTGATGTGTCAGATGACGCTGGCCTGGACTACCTTTTAAGCAAGGATGTCAAGGAGGTGGAGCTGAAGGGAAAATCGGCTGAGCGGATGATAGGAGATATGATCAATCTGGGTCTGAAGGGAAGAGAGGGGAAAGCGAGGGTAGTCAACGTGGAGATCGTGGAGGAGCCCGTGAGCTACGTGGGTGGGGAGAAGGCAGATGAGGTCTCCACCCCGTTTGAGGTGGAGGAGGTCGATGATGTATCCCCGGGCTCCAAGGGGCTCGCTGGGGAGGAGGGTTATGCAGAAATAGGTACAGTGTTCTCAGGGTATCAGCATCCCAAGACCAAGCAGCCCCAAGAGAACGAAACTCATGTGGAAGAAGTAATGGAGGCGGGTGACTCGGAGGGGGAGCAGAGTTATTTTGTGTCAACTCCGGATGAGCACCCTGGTGGGCACGACAGAGATGAAGGCTCCGTGTATGGGCAGATCCACATTGAAGAAGAATCCACCATCAGGTACTCTTGGCAAGATGAAATTGTGCCAGGTTCTCGGAGAAAAATAAAGAGGGATGATGCATCGGGAGAGAAGATTGTGAAGCCACTGGATGTTCCCGAACCTTCTCTGGAGAAGGATGTGGGTTATACCCACTGGAAAGAACTAGCAAGTGGCGAGTTCCATGCTGAACCCACTGTCATTGAAAAGGAAATAAAGATACCACATGAATTCCAGACTTCCATTAAGGCCGACTTCAAGGAGCCCAGACACCAGCTGGTGGAAGTGATCGGGCAGCTGGAAGAAAGCCTTCCAGAGCGCATGAAGGAAGAGCTGTCTGCCCTTACCAGCGAGGGCCAGGGCGGGCCAGGGAGCGTTTCCATTGACGTAAAGAAAGTCCAGACCTCTCGTGGTAGGTCTGTGACCTTAGTTGCTGAAGTCAACCTCTCGAAAACTGTGGATGCCGATCAGTTAGACCTGGAGTTGCTGAGCAAGGATGAAGCCAGTGAAATCGAGAAAGCTGTGGAGTCGGTGGTACAAGACAATTTGGCCAAGGGATCCAGCTCGCCACCTGGAAGCCCAGACAGGGAAGCTGGAGCAGAGGCCCCAGCTGCTGGCTTTCACTTCAAGCGCTGGGCCACCCAAGAACTGTACAAGCCTTCTGGTGAGGACGGTGATGCCAGCCAGGCTTCTGCCGGCACAGAGGGGGTCACTTCCCAGGGTCCCGTGTCGGCCACCGTGGAAGTCACCAGCCCAAGGGGCTTTTCCCAGTCACATGTGCTGGAGGATGTAAGCCAGTCTGTAAGACACATTAAAATAGGCCCCACTGGAATTTGGAAGACTGAGCAAGTCTCACGCGAAGGACCCACTGCAGAAGTGGTGGAGGTAAGTGGGGAAGGTGACTTCAGCCAGGCAGCCAGCTCGGCGGGAGCCAGCTGGTCAGTGAGGCACTTTACATGGGGTCCCGATCCAAGTCAGTTGTCTAAAGAAGTGTTTCTTCAAGGGCCTGTTCCTGCCTTTCAGGAGGCAGAAGACACAGAAACGCCAAGCTTGGTAGAGCTTTCTGCAGGTACCTATGGATCAGGGAGGCACAGCGCATTTGGCTCCAAAGAATTTCATGCTAACAGGGAAATTATTTTGCAGGGCCCCATTTCTGGAACAGGAAAGGTTGATTATTTTCAAACAGAAGAGTCAGTGGGCACCCAGACTTCTGTAAAGCACCTTCATTTAGGCCCCAGAGATGGGTTCAGTGAGCAAATACAGTTCACAGTCCCCCTTTCAGACCAAATGGAGTTGGGTGTCAGAGAAGGTGCTGTGCACACCCACGAGGTGTCAGGAAACAGCACATCCATCAGGCCTGTCAAAGTCAGGCTTCAGGAGTATCAGAACACCAACCAGACAGTTCCCGTACTGGGGGAATTTAGCGACTCAGAAAGTAGTGCCCTCAGAGAGGACTTGGCAGATGTGATCCAGGCCATTCCTGGTTACATGGTAGACAGGAAAACCCTGGTGACTGAAAAGAACACCCTCCAAAGGGCTGTTTCCGAGCCTCCTCAGGAGGCTAGTGTGGGAGGCATGTCAGGGGCAGAAGTGACATCAGGTATGAGCAGATCCTTTAGGCACATTCAACTGGGGCCTGGAGAAGCCAAAACCTCCAAACACGTCTTCCGTGGACCCATTTCCAAAACATTTGCACTTGCCAGTTCGGCAGACTCCCCTGAGCTAGGCGAGCTAGCAGGCAGCAGCAGAGTGCTAAGGCAAGTGGCACTGGGGTCCAAAGAAACTCCGTTTACCTTTCAGATGGACGTGAGTAACGTAGAGGCAACCCCCAGCTGGACACAAGAGGCCACAGTTCTCTTCCCTACAGGGACGGAAGCAGCTCGTAGCGTGTCTGACCGTGGGACCTGGAGAGATGCTGGCAGTAGACATGACCAGGCAGCCGGCGTGAGCTCTCAGGGCTCGGCTGGGGACAGACGCCAGGCCCCGGGGGAAAGGAGCAAGGAGCAGGCTGCGCTTGATAAGATGGTGCAGCTGCAGAGGATGGTAGACCAAAGGTCAGTGATTTCAGATGAAAAGAAAGTAGCCCTCCTCTATCTAGACAATCAGGAGGAGGAGGAGAATGAGGGACACTGGTTTTGATAAATATTTCTGTTCAAAATGGTATCTTATTTGGTAACATACCAACACACAAAGGCCTTTACTTATTTTAAGGGAGGGGAGGCTCACTATTAAGACCTCCCTTTTTTTTCATTTTCTTCAGTGTTCCAGGCAACATCCATTTACTTTATAATCTGTAAAATTTTCAAATTAATCCATGCCTTTAAAGGCATTGGAATTTTGTTTTTGAGTTGGGACTTTGATAAAAATGCTTTTTGTGTTTTTAGTTCTTTTTTCTGGAGTTTTCTCTCCATTCCTAGAGATACTTTCTACCTGTTTTGCACCTGATCACAGAAATGCCTTGCATCTGTTTAAAACTATAGCTAGCTAGCTATAGGTAAGATGCCTAAACAGCCATGCAATTAAAGTAATATATTTAAGAGTAAATTTTATTTGTATCTGCAAATATGAGATAGTAAACTAACTTTTTAAGGGAAAAACAATACATTTTTCTCTTTCCAAAGTCATTTCAAAAAGAAATCAGCAGATGGCTTATATTAAAAAAAAAAAAAACCCAACTAAATGATTTCATCTTTGGGAAACAGTTACTCGTCACAGAGTTAAATTCATTTTAAGACTTGAATTAATTGCTTTCTATGTGCAGAATTAAAAATATATAGTATTTTGTTTATGGAGAGGGCAGCTCCAGCCTATTGCAATATTTCAATTCAACATCCTTGGTCTGTTTGCACAGGTTCCTAGAACCCTGCACTGGCCCTGTGTGTAGGGGAGAATGATTATTGGCAATGCTTACAGTGCCATTTATTTTTTGTAACACTAATCATTAAGCAGCACACAATCTAAGTATTTTTCTCTTTTTGTAACCCCAGTTTTGGAGTAGCTAGTTCTGATTAGACTATGCTTGAGCTTCTCTGCACCTTAGCCCTTAGCACCTAATGTTTAATTTCATTGGGGAGAGGTAGACCCTGAAGACAATAAAGAACGTGAAGGCTCAGACTACAGCTGCCCTTGCAATATGGCCATGTGCAGTTAAAGTGGAAGCACGAGGCGGACTGTGCCTCCTGAAGAAGCTTTTTCAACTCACCGCTAATGGAGTTGAGGTCTTTCTGAGCTCAAAGAGTTCGAGGAGAAAAATGACAATCAGCGCACAGAATTTTTTGCACTTTCAGTAAAATCATTACAGCTGGGGTGTTTTGTTCAGGGAAACGAATAATACGTTAAATAGAGTAAGATGTGCTGGGGGAGGCACTGAGTGTGTCTCCTGCCACCTAGCCCTGGAGCACCTGGCTGGGCCCCAGAGGAAGGCAAAGGCCCTATTCTTGTGGGCCACGTAACGTGGACCTGCAGATACACACTGCCTGGTTCAAGGTACTAGGAGAGCGCTCTGTTGGGTTTGTTTCATTTTACACAAGGGTATTGGTTTTAAAGCTTCCATCTTTAAAGGTGTAGTGCCACTTAAATATGGTATCATTAGCAGCACAGTATTGTTTTAATCCAAACTAGTTTCTTTCACATAATGTTGTCTCTAACACGTATCAGAACTGCCTGCAGTGTGCAGAGAAATAGGGTCTGAGGTCATGTCGTCCTCTGTTATCTTATGATGATGGGGTGGCTGAGGCATGTGAGGTTCTGAGTTTCACACATGGCCCTCAGACCCCATGACGCCTGTCTCCTCACCTCCCAGAAATGGCTAAATGCAGGTATTTTAAGGAGAGTATGTGTTTTTGTTTTTTTACTATATGTGGAGGAGAAACACAGCACAGCTTTCAGGATGATCTATTTTAAAAACATTGCGTAGTGGTATAGAAAGTTGATGTGAATTGTAAGTTTAGACCTTTGTTATCTGCCAGATGAGCTAGTAACTGCTGCAAACTGGCACGGAGGTGACGGCTCTGCAAGCAAAGACCTCTCATTTCTAATACAAAGACAGGTGGGTTTTATGGGAGCTGTAATTGGTAGTGATTTTTGTACAAATGATTGATTGGTGAGCATTTGGTTACAGGTGGCAGCCTACTGATTTGATGGTAAGACAGACGGATCAGGAGGATTATGTGAGTCTAGGTGGGCTTTGTGGTTAGTCCTTAATGTCCCTCTCCAACCTTGTGACCTTACAAGTGAGTGTTAACCTGAATAGGTGCACATCATGACCCACTTATTTTTGGAAAATAACTATCTCCGTTCTTAATTTTTGTCTCCAAGTCCAAATGCACATATCCTCAAGAAGTATCCTGCCAGGAGGATTTACCAAAATGGAATCAGGTTACCGAGTCTCTGGATCACCCAAGAGCAGGGTGTGCCTGAGACACAGGGCCAGGTCTCCCTACAGCAGCACGTCCTTTAAAACCAGCCACTCCGGAGACCATAGAAATCAGCTTTGTGATGGGACGGGGTGAGGACACAGCCAGTCTTTTCATATGTATTGTTGTATAGACAGAACGGTATTAATGGAATGTTTTTCACCTTCGCACTGGTTGTTTCGATATTGTTTGTTTAAAATGTATATTTGGAATGGAATCCTCTAAAAGCTGAGCTTGCTAACCTTCTGCTCCCTGCAAGGAGAAATGTCACAAGAACGTGTAAAAATAAAAATCTAAGGAAAAAACCCGCATTGTTTCTAAAGAGAATGAATGTTTTATGGTAGGGGTTTTTGGTGGTTTCTGTTTAAACTCTAAAGCATATATGTGTTCACATGCATGGTTTTTATGGTGGCACAGAATCCCTGGGGAGAATAGAGATGAGAAGTTCCAGTTCTTTAAGTCCTCATCTGAATCAGAACTTTATACTGTTAGCACAGAACTTGAAAACACAGCAGACACCATACACCACATGGCTTGTTTTGAAATACAGACTGGGCAGGCTACAGTAAGCATGTTGTCATCACAGCCTGGGAGGCTAGTGCTAATGGGTGACCAACTGGAGGGTCCCCCAGGGCATGGGACTTTTGGTGCTAAAAACAGGGTAATCCTAGGCGCACCAAGGTATTTGGTGACCGTGTAAGTGCAAATTGGAAGGGTTAATTAATTATGGTCCTTTCTTAGGGGCTTGAAAAAAACTGGGGTAGTTTGAGACAAAGTAGTAGTTAGATACCCTTACTTTTTTTTATAACCTTTCACCAAAAAAAACCCCTGATTGGATAACAGTTATCTTCTCATGTTGAAGTCAACATATTTAATAGATGGGAGACATTTGGGGAAACAATCCTAAGTTGATTCTTTCCCAGGGTGGGGGCTCAGATTTTAAAAAGGTGTTTTAGTTTCTGTGACTCCAAGATATTATCCTCCAAGTACAGAAAGGAAGAAGTAACATCAGAATTCACATTTTCCCCCCTGAAACCCAGCATGGACTCTGCCTGCTCAGGCTGCTCTGAAAGAATACCACAGATGGCAAGGCTTAAACAATGGACGTGTATTTCTCACGGTTCCCGAGGCTGGAAGTCCAACGTCAAGGTGCCGGTGGACCTGGTTCCTGGCGGGGCTCTCCTTCTGGTTTGCAGATGGCGCCTTCTTATTGTGTCCTCGCACAGTGGACACAGAGGTCATCTCTCTAGTGTGTCTTTTTATAAGAGCACTAGGTCATGGGGCTGTACCTTCATGTATTAATTACCTCCCAGAGGCCCCACTTCCAGATACTTCATACTGGGGCTTAGGGCTTCAACTCATGACTTCGGACGTACACATTCCGTCCTCAGCTGACTCCAGTGTATATATTTAAAATGCTCGTTCCATTATCCATATTAAAACCATTTCTTTAAGTAGCTAGGACACTTGCTGAGGAGTGGCCTGGTCTCTCACCTTTGCACATTGCCTTCATCCGCAACCCTGTCTGGGATGGGTGGATCTGAGCAAGGGTGGGCATGGTTGGCTGTCACACTTTTGAGGAGGACACGGTACCTTCCTCTCCACTTTGACTGGGATCTGTGTTTATTTCTCCGTCAATTCTGGAGGTGGCGCCCTGCACAGATGGAGTTCCCTGCTGGCCTTTGCGTGGACGGGGCCTGTGCTGCATCCTGCTGCTGTCCGAGCACCAGCTGCAGCCTCGCTGGACCGCGGTCCCAGGCATGAGGGTGGTGAGGGGAAGGAACAGCACAGTGCCCACACCCCCTCCCACCCTCCTTGTGCCCTGTCCACCGCTCTCCAGCACTAGTGCCATTATTGACAGCATGGAGCAAGGTGCTCAAGACTTCCCACTCTGCTGTCCCATTCTCCAGTGATGACGCCCGCCTCTGCCACACGAAGACCACTCAGGATATGAGCGCTCAGCCGCTCCACCCTCCCTACCCCACCAGCTCAACCAGGGGACACAGCTGGGAGAGCATGGGACCAAGGGACGTGCCAGCTTAGAAGCTCCAGAGTGGCCACACTTCCCCTGCCTCACCTCCAATCCCTTACACTTGCCCCCCTGACTTCCGGGCCAGATCAGATCCATTTATCACCCACCCCAGTGTACTGGGCTCTTTTCCTCTGTTGTCTTCAACTAATCACATCATGATGTGTTTAATAACTAGCGTCCAGGTTGGATGGCTGCCCTGAGAGGATGGGGACAGCGTGTGTTCATTGCTGTGTCCCCTGTTCTCAGCACAGGCCCGATACCTACTGGGCACTCAGCCATCCTCGGTGAGTGCCTGAGTACAGGAGTGGAGAGAAGATTCCCACCCCTTCCCATGCTCTGGAGAATGCTGAGGCCGGCTTCGTTCAAAAAATACATGCTGACCCAACTTCCAAATTTCCTTTTATCAGCACTTTATTCTCACTTTATTTTCAATCCCTATTACCTTGCTATAAAAAAGGGCTTCTTCCAGAATCTTACCACTCCAGATCTGACTCCAGACCTGTGCAAAGGGCTCTATATGTACAGTCAGAGACTGAGTCTACTTCTCTGCACAAAAAGTTCTGAAGTTTGGAAAAGAAGCCTTTCAGTGGCAATAAAAAAAAAAATTGTGTTGGCAAGAAAAATCACAGGTTCTGAAAAGAAAAATGCTTTGTAGAAGCATCAGATCGCTCTGAGGGGCATCCACTGTCAGAAATGTGGCCCACACGGGAGGTTTACGGTATCACCGTTGCATGTTGGAGCAGTCAGCTTTGAAAACCTAATACAGTGCCGGTTGAATCCCATCTTCTAGTCAGAGAGAGATTCGTACAGCACCCTGCCAGCCCCCAGGCATGACCCAAGCTTTCTCTGGGGGCGGGGTGGGGCTCAGTCGGCTGCGGGGGGCCTGGCCCTGCCCAGCATGGTGCGCTGGGGCCCGCTGGTGCAGAGGGCTGGTTTGGCTCTCGGTGCTTGCCTTGGCTTTGCGGCCACCTCAGGGGACCTGCAAACAAGCAGAGGTGGGGTGAGGGTGGCGCCCCTCAGGTCTCCCCATGGCCCCCCGATGGCAGTTGCTGAGCTGCTCTCTGTGAAGGAGCCTTGGGAGGGAAGGAAAATGATAAGGAATTGGGGCACAGGAACAAAACCAGGTTTTTTTCTCCCACTTTCTGATTCCTTGTGGCCAATCTCCCTGGCTGACACAAGCATCCCTTAACTGGCTCAGAGGGCAATGCACAGGCAGAAAGGCTGGGCTGGAGGCCTAGTTGGCTCCTCTTCCCCGTGCTAAAGGGACCTGGGCCCACGCGGCTGGCTCCAACACAGGGCCCCTGCTGGCCGTGCGCTGGCGGTGCCTCCATGGGCGTGGATTGGCCGTCGGCCCACAGACTCCCGCCCAACAGCCTGTGAGGTGGGGCACCCCCGCAGCAGAGCGCAGGGCCACGGCTCAGCGGCTGAGAAGGACAAGGGGCCAGCCCGCAAGGTGAGGTCAGAGAGTGCTCAGGCTCTCCTGGAAGCCACCCTGGGCATGAAGGGAAGTCTAAGCCAGAGCTCCAGCAGGCCAGGCTCAGGTGCCATGCCCTCACTCCATGCTTGCCTACAGGTGAGATGACCTGTAGGTGCAGGTCTTTGGGAGGAGGAATCCCCCAGCACGTGTTTCTGACATCATTCACGAGCTAATTTCTTCTTAATATCTGGGCAGAGGAGATATTTTACAACTGGGTTTTCAAAGGAATTGGTCTTGCAGTTTATGAGTAATAGGAAGTCAGTAAAACTTTCCATAGAAGGTTCCACAGAAACTTACAGAACCAGCTTCCTCTGAGATTCCAAATGGCAAAGATAGTATGAGGGGATCCCAACTCACTTGGACAGGCTGTCCATGGTCTTCTGGGTGGCCTGAGTCCTCCTGTCCTGGGGTCCGTATAAGATGGTCTGAATCTGAAGACACTGTAAAACACCAAGTAGTAAGCATGAGGTTATGAAAATGTCACTGAGTGCATTTTATGGGAAAATCAAGTCTCCCTTGACTGAGAGAAAGAATACTTTATTCATGGACTCATGCTATGACGGAATTAGTGCTTTCTCGGGGTTTCTCCTAGGGGCAGTCTGACCTTTAGTTTAGATGTTCTAAGGGATCCAGGAAGCAAATGCATAGTTTTAGCACTATTTTACAGAAGTCTCTGTTCAACAGAGTAGCTGTATGCAGAACTGTGTTTAAAAGTAGTATTTCTAGAAAATAAAGGCAAGAACATTGATATTGACCAGAGGACAGTCTCTAGTTTCCTTTTTTCTTTTTCAATCAAAATATAGTTGATACACAATATTGTACTGGTTTCAGATGTACAGCATAGTGATCTGACAATTAGTACATTACTAAATGCTCACTATATTGAGTGTAGTTGGTGGGAATGTAAACTGGTATAGAAAGCAATATGGAGGTTTCTCTAGTTTCTATTTTTCAATGACCTTTGCTTGCTATAACCCAGAAAAGTTTGTTTTTAATGGTTTTGTTTTTTTGTAAACAAATGCTTTATCTTATATGGGCTTCCTATATTCATTAATACACAGCAATTTCTTAGGAATTCACTTATTTAGTAGCTATTATGTAGTGCTACCTTTAGCTTGATTTCTTACTTCTGCTAACTGTCCTGCCATTTGTTGGCTTGGGCCAGGCCGGCACAAACTCAGGGCCAGGATAAAGATGAGAGTTAGGCCCAAAATGGTCAAAATATAATTTTGAAGAAGAGTGAGGCAGAGACTCTTGCTTTACTGGATGGACAGGGATGGACAAACAGACCAGTGTAACATGACAGTCTAAAACTTGATAGATGACAGAAGCAGCCCTGAAGGATCTGTGAGAAAGAGCTCACTAGTCAATACATGGAACTGGGACTACCAGTTTTCCAAATGGAAGAAAATGGATCCCTACCCCAAATCAAACACAAAAATTAATCCAGATAGATTGATGAACTAGAAGTGAAATGAAAACTTATAACTTTTAGGTTAAATACTGGAGGATATCTTCATGATCTTGAGGCAGGGAAGTACTTTGTAGATAAGATCCAAACAGGCCAAAAGAAAAAGACTAATAAAATTCAACTGCATTAAAATTCAAGATATCTGTGTACCAAAATTCACTGTAAGCAAAGTACAAAGACAAAGCCGACTGAGAAAGGGTGAGTATTCAGAATATGTAAAGAACTCCTATAAGGTAATGAGAAAAACAACCTACCAGTAGAAAATGATCAAGACATATAAACAGATTACTCAAACAAATTGAAAATTAAATAGATAAAAAACACATGTAAGCTCAGTAGTAACCAGAAATGCAAACTAAACTTTCATTGAGGTTGCCATTTCACCTATCAGACTGCAAAAATTATAGTCTGATAATAATAATACCAAGCTTTGTCAAGGATATGATGCAAGAACTCTTTTATATTTTGACAGTGGGTGTTAAAATTGGTACAACCACTTTTCAGAACAATTTGGCAATGTTTAGTAATGGATAATTAAATTAGTAAAAAATATGTATCATGCAAATTTTTGATATGTATATATCCATGTAGATGAATCTCATGATTATAAACTAAAGAGAAAAAAGGACATTGCAGATGAATGCATTTTATGTATATACAATTTATATGAAGCTTAAAAACCATATAAAACAAAACCATAGTAAATAATAAGGAAAACATGGGTATGATGTCAAGTTCACAATGGCAGTTATCTGGAGATGGCATGGGGAGGGGTCTATACATGTTTAATGTCTTATACTGAATAGTAAGCTCAGAGGTATTTGTTATATTATTCATTCTTTTGGGCATATCTGAAATATTTCACGATATATTTTTAAAAAATTGAATTAGTTTTCCTACACAGTAACAGGTTGAGTCCAAAAAAGTCTGAGTTTGTGGACTTTGTACTGAAGACTGTTCCTTCATTCTGATCTGCCAACCATTTTTAGGTCTTTGAGAAAATTAAAATGCAAGCAGCCAAAATGCCTTGTCTTTAAAAACTGTGGAAAATATCAAAACCATCTGAATGTTTGGTTCAATCTGAGGAATTGAGAATGTGGTTCTGGAATTTGAGAATGTGGTGGTCTTTTGGAGCAAAGAAATCTTATTAGACAAAAATATGACAGGATTTCTTTAAACAACAAAAAACATTCACTATTTTTTAGTTGAATTATGTAACACCAAGAAGTAGTAAACTTTTTCCATTACTCTATTTAGTATATAATCCAAATGCTGTGAAGGATCCCAGCCCCTCCACGCATAAGTCCCAGCCTTTCAAGAATCTGCACTGGGGCCCTGGCTCAGTCTGTGGGTTTGGGAGCATTGCTTTAATCCACAGATACACTGTTGTGACCCTGGGAATTTAGGAACCTTGAGAAAGTTCAGCATTGCTATGAGGGGAAGGAGAAGGGGCAGGTTTCCAAAACCCATGATGCGGGATATAAACTCTTCCAGAATCCTCTCCCACTTGGCTCAGCGCTTTAGAAGACTGGGTGCGTCTCCACCCAGGACCTGGCCAGGGAGGTGCTCAGAAGGGACAGCGAGCAAGAAGCAACATGCTTTCCCCTTATTCATGCGAGTCAGAGAGAGGCCTCTCTCCAGGGCTAATGCTTCTTGCCAGAGCAGACTTCATTTTCTCCTACATGGCTAGAAATACCTTCAGTCAGTGTAAAAGATCAGGTCTAATTTTAAACCCACCCGAACTTCTCTGTGTACATATTTATGAGTGCCTCCAATGCAGCTCATTTTGAGATGAGCTGGTGTCGACATGCCTTGGTGTTAATTCATTCACTGGGGTGTTAGAATTTTACTGACATTACAATGATTACTTGAGACAGTCTGAGGTCTCAGTTTACCCTGCCTTAACAGATGGCCTCCAAAATCTAAAACCCTGGAGGAATTTCCATCCTACCCCTTTGGTTATCGAAGCGTCTCTCTGGCCCCTATTCTTTAGGGAAAGAGATCCTACTTGCTGAATATTCATGCATCCCTGGAAGAATGACAAGTTGACAGTGCTTATACGAATTTTCACTGGTTCTAACCACCTGTATCATGTGCCGATCATTTTTGCTGGGGGTGTTAAGTTAGTAGAGAGAGTGTAGTTAGGAGAGAGGGTCATGGTTGGGTAAAGCAACCCTTTTCAAGTCCAGAGAGAAAGGAGACCCATCCCAACCCTCCCCCTAGACCCTAGTAGTCAAGACTCCCCTCTTCTTCATATAAGTAGAATTTTTTTTCTCCTTTTCCTCACAAAGGAGATTTGCTTTTGCCCAAAATTCTGGAGCAAGTGAGAAGAGATGTAAAAGGATGTCATCTGAGAGAGGGAAACCAGTCCTTGGTCCGTCTCTAATCCCCCACTGATGACAGTGCCTGGAGAGGCCACACCAGGTACCAAGTCAGGAAAAAAAAATGATCCATCCATTAACTGAAATCATCTTCAAGAGCCATCTTTTTAAAATAATGAAATAACCCAATTCTGACTCCTACTAGAAAATGTTTTACATAGTGTATATTTATCTAAGAAACGTAACTTGAATTTTTCAGTGTTCTGCTGCTCTTAGCTGGATTTATTGAAGCATTTTTGTGTGGAATCGATATGTCAATTATTTTGTTAATAACATAGACATTGACAGACACAAAGTCAATAAATGTTCATTGAACCTACTGGGAGCCAGGCATTGTAAACATTTTGCGGAACCAAGAATTCCCCAAACCTTAATAGTAGAACGTTCGCCACCATAAATAAAGTTATCCCATGCTCTTCAAAGTATTCCAAGGAGGCCAGTGCACTTTTGTTTGAAATTAGCCTCCAAAGGGTGTTTCTCACTTTTCTTTAAGTGGCCAAAAAACTGAAATTTCCATTATCCAGATGGATCTTAGGAAGCCGTTACATTGCTGTTATTCTCTCTGGCTTATCTGCAGGGGTTGAAGTCATTTGTGTTTCTGTTCTTCCTTAAATATCAAACGAGGAGCTTTCCTCCCCCTGCAGGAAGACAAAGGGAGCGCCCGCGTTTACACTAGCCGCAAGCTGTCCCCAGCCGGGCCACGTGTGTCTTGCTCATCTTTGCATCTCATCTTCGCGTACAGAGCTTTGCACAGTCCCCGGTAGGTAAGTAGATGCAATATTTGCTAAATGAAGGAATGATTAAATAAGTGAACAAACTGACCGGTTGAGGAAATTCTTTTATGGAGCCTTAGGACATGACTGGATCACAGGCCTTCGGTGACACGCCCACTAGTGGAACCCTGGGAAGGAAGCGGGGCTGTGGGTGTGGTACTACGAACCTTCACCTTCATAACCGGGCAAGTGCAGCAGTAGAAAGATGCTGCTTGCCGTGTGCTGCTTTTCTTAGGGGTCACTCCTAAGGCCAGGGTAGTTAAGACACACTCTTAAGCATTTGATGCAAGATTAAAAAATCATTTTTGACATGAGTTTAGTTTGGAAAGCTTTGAAGGTTCCTAAGGAGCCCAGAAGCCAGGGAGGCTGGGACAGGAGCCACCAGTTTGCTGTCTTCCTAGCTATGGCCTATCTCTGCACCCCAGGGCCGGCACCTGTCCCATTGTGGTAGAGGGGTGGCTTGGTGGCAGCAATGGCTTGGAGGTTAGCTGACGCAATGCACTCTGGTTTCAGAAAATCACAACAGTTGAATACCCAAGCTCACAAAGAAGCGTATTTTCTGGTTTTGCTACTGCAGTTGTTTCTGGTGTTAAAAATCTATAGTTGTTACTCGGGGCCATTTCTTTTCATGACAGCACCTCTGCAGAAGTGCCCTGGGGACGCCTTAGCCTCCCTTCCTCCCTCAGCCTCCAGCCTGAAGTCCTGGAATCGCTCCATAGTTTCTGTCGGGAATCTCAGACCACAGAAGTGCTGTTGGAATGCATCCTGTTTATTAACAGAGGCAGGCAGCGTGAGCGGCAACTAACGAGCCATTT